GTTAAAGACACATGGCTTATGCAGTTGCGTAAAGAAAGTCTAAATTTTTTCAGGCCATTTTTCATCATGTTTCATGCTCAGAAAAATCATATAGTATTCGAAGAGTCAATTAAAGTCGTTTAAAGAAAGTTTAGCGCAATTTTTCTGTAGACAGACGTTTTTTGTCGGCTTTTATTGACTAGTTCTTATGCTCAATATTCATTATAATAATTATAATTAATGCAACGTATCGTGACTAATTCTGACTAAACGTTCCTTTCATTAAAGTTCTATTAAGTATTCAACCGTCGACATATCTTGATAATGTATATTTCATTTTCTAAAACCCGTTAAAAAATTTGTATGATAATGTGTATTTAGCCTTTTCGGGAGAAAATTTATTAAAATTTCATTTTTGTCTGATTTAGTTGATTGGTAGACGCGTCCTAACTTCCACGTCTGACCGAAAATTTAGGTAGACCCAAGTTACAGTTTTGTCCTTCCTCTTGGTCTTTCTGAAAAAAAAAAGGCTTGTAAAGGCAACTGATTTTGGTTCCGAAACCGACCTTGCAGTCATGGCTACTCACAAAGCGTTACATTCTCTCTAAAAGGCAACTGCCGCACACGTGCAATGGTGCCAAATGCATCACAGACCAAGTATCATTTCGTCAGTACTTTAAAAACCTCTCGGAAGTTATGGATCAAATATATTCAGTATCTTTTTTCAGTTTAAGTGTTGAGCAATACCAATATATATACGTCCCAGCAACTGGCTTTGGTGCAGCTCTTACCCAATTCTTTCATTCTTTTCTTTTTCTTTTTTTTTTTATTTTCCACAATTCTAGAGTAATTGCCTCCGCAGGGATTTCGTCCAGAAGGCGAAATCCCGAGGAGGCACTCTAGTAACTCGCGCGTATATTACGGAAAGTACTTACAGTTGAAATATACAGTCATACAGTCAATATAGGAAAAATCTCAACAGGGGCCGCGAGGGATCGGTAGGTAATGATGACGTTTCTATTGTTTGCGCCCGTAAGTACGAAATGGTTAGGATGACGTAAAGACAGAAAATCCAAGAGACCACTTAGGTAGATTTTGTGACATTTATTGTGCAGTCATACTTCGATACTCTTTTGCGTTACGCAGTGGCATTATTTGAAAGTTATGGACCAAAAGACACTCGCTAAGGGCAGATGAGGTTATAAGGTGCGTTTAACTGTATACATATAAACACTTGGAGAGTTTGCCAGACACGAGTTCACAACCCGGGGTTCACAGCTTTGATTTATATTGGAAACCTTGCCAGACACTCTTTCTCTCTCTTTGACCGGAATAAGACTCAGCCCCAAACAAGCAAGACGAGTGAACAACGGCTAGCTTCTCACTAGCAGAACGATGGACGATTACAGAAATTCGCCGACAATCAAATTCTGCGCTGACTTATTCCCTGCTCACAGATGTCCTTCCGCTATAAAGTTTAAAATAAGTCTAGAATGCTCGAGTGTGAATTAATCAAACGTCCTTTTAATTTTTAAGGCTTCCTTTCCGGCAAATAAAATGAACTGAATGTAAAAAGTGATAGAAAAATAGCGAAAAATTCAACTTCTAATTAACTAAATTAAATCTTATTGTTTAGAATAAACTAGTCTCGAAACTGAGAATGTTTTGATCAAAGCTGTGTAAATCGACTGAAACTGTGCATGGAACCCTGCGTTTCCGGTATTTATCTCACCTATTGTTTGGAATATGTGTGAAAATCTTCCTTATGAATCGGTATATTTCAAAGAGCAGAGTGAGTACACAACGTGCAAGAATGCTATTGACCGACAATATACAGAGCGCGGGCAGCCGTAGTGTCAACTATTATTAGTTGTAAGAGTTTTAGCTGCGTGTTCAGGATTTGTACTAGGGCAATATCAATTTTAAGCATACTGGCCTTCTTAATGACTGTTGATCCACGAAATAAATTAAGATGGGGTTATTATCGTTGTAAATGGGTCAAAAGTAGATTTTCCAGATGCAACTGAGATGCACGCGGCATAAGTAAAGAAATGCACGAATCATCAACCACAGTCTGTACCGCTACAGGTGTTACTGATAGTCCTGCACAAAGATATCGGCGTCATCTCCTGATGAAGACCAGCAAAACGCGGTCGATACCTTGTAGTCGATGACAAAATGACTGTCGACAAGACAAACATAAACAAGGCCTATCAAAGTCTTGGTATTCTTAAATTGTAAAGTTTATAGTGCAAAATCGAACCTGCGAATAACAGTACCATCTTTGGACATTTTAATGCCCATTGAGTTTTCCTGCACTCTGTAATAAAGACCAGTAGAACGACTAGTTTCCACTATTTGAATAAACAACGTTTTCGCAGAGAAAGCATTTAAACCGCAATCTTAGATAAAAGAACATCCCAAGAATTACTCGGTCACTACTTTAGGGATCTCTCGGAAGTTATAGATAAAAGATCTGCGGTATCTTTTTAAATTGTAAGACCACACCGTTGACTTTCACTACGGGGCGTGACAGCTCTAACAAGGGCTGTTTCGGGAGAAAAACAAATTTATTCAGGGAATCTGGAGATTTTGCGGGAATCGGGAAACCTGGGAATTTTTTTCGGGAAATTTGAGGTATTTTCGGGACCTTGAGCAAAGATTTGATATTACATGTTATCAAACAATATATATACAGTGATATGCAGCCAGTGTATTCGCTGTATTCTATGTATTTTGACACTTGAAAACGGCTGAACTCCCCATGATATGAAAAGACCATTCAGCAACGATTCCAACTGAAATAGCATGAAATTCGAGTGCGATTGACCACGTGCAATCCCCAGCGGATTGACACAAGAACCGTACCGGTGCAAGGCACATACTATCAGTTCACACCAGATCCCATCATTCATTAGTTCAGGGGTATTTTTACGCTGCACGTTAACGAGTTTTAAGAGCACATTCCACTGATTGCATACTGGAAAACTTGAAAGAAGTACGTAAGAAGTATGTAAGAAAAAAACGAAACTCATTTAACCTCGTTAAACACAAATGAGGCCATAAAAAGTAGTATAAAAAGTAGTATGTCTTGTGAAGACTCTTTAATCATCCTGATCTCGTCGGGGTCCTTCCGACTTTGCTCGAAAATCCCGAATCCCGATCAATATGCGTTCGGGATAGGAAAATTTCAGATTTCGACAGTTGTCCTGAAATTTTCCAATGAATTCATACAATGACACCACACAGAGTATACTTAGTTGAAAGTGATATCCAGAGCAATTTCAAAAACCGCACAACTTGTATAAAATAAAATTGACTACTTCTACGCGAAGTCACGCCAATAAAAATAAGCATAAAAAGGACAATTGATTCAGAGAACATTTTGGACAGAATTTGTCCTCTCAGAACGCTAGAAATGGCGTTTCAGAGCACCAAGATTTCAACGATTTTATATACTTAAAAAGTTTGACCTTCTTCTGTGTTAACATGATACCCTCTAAACGAAAAAATAACTAAGGTTAGATAATTAACAAGTTAAATAATTAACAAGAAGCTGCAGAAAATCTCTGATCAAAATTTTAATTTTAATTGTTAAAACAATTTTGGGAAGTTAAACATTTATGGGGAATGCCACCGAAAAATTCGGGAGGGTCGACGAAATTTCCGGGAGGACGTAAAGTTATTCATAGGACTGCCCAAACAGCCTTTGTTAGAGTTGTCACCCCCCCCGTTTCACTAACAACAACAACAGAAAATAATAAATGAGGAGTTCATGTCAAAACTAGAGTCTGGTGCAATTGTTACAATTAACAACAGATCTAGATCGGGACAGACCAAAGGCTTTTTTGTTAATATCATGATGGAACTTTCAATGCTGAGAAGTGCACAGAACTGGAACATTGATATATTGCTTAATGGCACTGCAAATGAAGATCTCTCTCACTTCAAAAGTTGATAGCCACTTACAGGAATGTTTCCTTAGCACGTAAACAAGAGTTATTGAGACCAGCATCGAACAATAAATTAACTGAATGAAGTGCTTTTTTTCCAGTTTGAAACCATGATCTTATGTCTTGTCCTTGTTCTTCTTCATATAACAGATCCACGAAATCATTTATGCCTCCTATGCTCTTCTAAAATTTTATCATGACCATAATCAATATTTTAGATATTGAAGTAAGCCCCTGTGCAACTTATAACTAAGACCCTGTTTACATGGAGTGGGGGACCCCGGTCTAGTGGGGTAAGTTTCTTTTGTTTTGTGTCCTCCAGAGCGTGAAAACAAAAGAAACCAACCCCACTAAACAGGGGTCCCCCACTCCATGTAAACAGGACCTAAGACGCACTGATGTCTTTTGTCTTTGTTTTACCCCACCATGCCCACTATGCTGAAATAAAAAGCCGCGAATAGACGAAGACATCGCTCAGTATATCAGTGCCATTCAGGAACACATTTGAAGATAAGTCCGAGTGCCTTTGTGAGTTAAAGTATTGTCATTTGCTCACTCTTTCACTGTTATATTCTAACTACAAAATTGTGTTGAAAGTGATCTGCAATTAACCCATCGCAATGATAGAGATGTGATGGTGAGTTTTGAGCCTGCATGGTGAAAACATAACATTGAGATGTTGTTTCATTCTGTGACACAATTGTCTCCAGTCGAGCCTATGAATTAACTTATGGTTTCTAGTCCAGATGCTCTACCACTGAGCTGCAAGAGAATCGTGGGAGCTAATTAACACCATTAAGGCCATGAAGTGACACGTGACACTCATGGCGAGCGGACGTGTATTTTTCAGCTCCGTCAATTTGTAATGTTTTTTTTCTCTTTGCATTTCTTCTATTGGATTTTTGTCTTAGCTTAAACATTTCTATTAGCATTTTGTCTTAGTTTAAACATTTACAGGGGAATTATTTTCATGGGGAAACCAAAGAAACATCACTCGTCTGATGCTGCAGCGGACGAATTGAACTTGGAAACCAGGGCGGATAACCTTTATCCGCCCTGTTGGAAACTCTTAAAGATGAAGGAGAATTGGTCCCCATTGCTACACTGAAGCAAATGCTTGATGTTCAGCAGTTCATGCTTAAAACGCTTTTTGATTCCTTTATCTCCACTGTCAATGCAAGAGTCGATAAGTTGGCAGACTCAGTCGCGTCTCTCAAAGCAAGCCTTGAATTTACACAAAAGGATGTCGGAGATTTGTCGTCCTTAAAATCGAAGCTCGTGGGCGCCGGAAAGGATATTGTTGAAATCAAAAACACTGTGGAGTTTCAGGGAAACAAAAAAGAGTACCAGGAAAACCAAAGCAGACGGAACAACATCAGAGTATTCGGTATACCAGAATCGGCTGGCGAGACTTGGGAAATGGCTAAAACGAGAGTTAGGGACGCCATCAAGGAGAAGCTCAACATTGAAGTTGACATCGAGCGCGCTCACCGTGTTGAGCGTAGAACTTTCAACTTTCAACTTTATTTCATAAGACTATTAGTTACAATAGACTGGCCCGCAAAATAGCAATTGCTAATCTAGGCGGACCAGTTAAAAGAAAAATAAATTGAAAGGAAAAGAAACTGAAGGAAAGGAAAGGAAGGAAAACTACAATTTTAAGTTACAATAAATAATATTCTATCACTACACTGGGAAGTAGTATATAGTGGACACCGAATTATTAAATTGGCCATGAAAGAGGGCTAAATTGCCTCTAAAAGTAAAGTAAGGCAGCTCTTTGAGTGTTGATCTTTGAGCTTTTTCTTGGACCTTATTTCTACGGCGTAACTTCATTTTAAGCTAATTTAAGGGATACAGCGAAGAAGGTTTTCAGAATTACCCCGCTTAATGCAACTCTATTATCTCAAAGTACTTAGCTTATCGTGACTCCCTCAGTTCATTTAATTCGTCTAGGCTTGTTAGCTTTATGACTGTTGATGTTTCCGTTTTGCGCAGACAGACAGCTCCGTTTTTCGCCCAACAGAATTTGAAGTTATTGGCGTCCTTGTATTTCTTGCTCTCGAAGAGAAGCTCCTGTAGTCGAGGAGTTAGATGATCATACAAGTTAATATGACTGATATCAAAATCGTCAGGGAAGCCTAACTGTGACGCCTCGAGGTTCTCCAATCTCCTTCGCGCAGCCATAACTTTTCCCTTTGCCAGTCTTCGAGTAAATTTGCAAACGATAGCATTCGGCCTGTTCGAGGCAGAACGGCTCGGTATCCGATGAGCAATATCGATGTCGTTAAGCGAAACATCTTCAACTCCAAGGGCTTCAAACATCCTGAGGCAGAGAGCGACAGTTTGATCGGAGGTTTCATTTTGCGTTGTAGCTGGCATACCCACAATTTTGACATTAAACTGGTAACTGTATGCTTCAAGAGTGTCGATGGATTTAGCAATTCGGTCGCAGAGAATGGAGATTTCGGCGACTCCAGTAAACAGTTGTTTGATTTGCTTCACCGCTTCGTCTTTGAACAGGGGCACCCAACGACCGTTTTCTGGAAAATGATCTGAAATGGCTCGTTATGCATCCTGTAGTGCTTTAAAAGCAATATAAATGAATAATTCGCATCGCTAAAAAAATTTGATCTGTTCGGTCGTCCTAGGAGTGGTTTGACCCTCTCGAATTTTTTAGGGCTGTTTTTCGCCTTTCCCGAAAATAACAGCCCACAGTGAAAGCTTTCCGAAAACGTGAGATTACCTGACGAGCTTTCCCTTGACCGAAATTTTTAGGGGTCCTTTCAAGTTTTCTCCGAAAACTTTATCTAGTGTGAGAATGTCTCCGAATTTTCTAGGGCGACGTAGAATGTATAGAAAATTCAAGGTGTAAAAGAAAAGGCATTTAAGTGATTTTAAAGCCAGTTGAAACGTCTAATGAGTGTATAGAAAATTCTAGGTGTAAAAGAAAAGGTATTTAAGTGATTTTAAAGCCAGTTTCAAACGTCTTGTACCCTGCCAAACTCAATTCGCACGGCACTTACGGAAAAATCTGAAATACGGCATGGCACTGACTGATTACAACGCACATTGAACGCAGTCAGCTAAGGCAGTTGGCAGAGTTGGGATCAGTTGGAATAGCCCAGGGCACGGCTCAGTGTTTTTTCAGTGTTCTGTTCTGTTTTTTCTGTTCGTCCCCGAGGGGTAAGGTGCTCTGGGTGCTAAGGTAATAGGAGAGGACAGCTGATGGGGGGAATCTGAAGAATAGGCCGAATAGGTCCAGTAGTAAAGATCAGAAAGATCAGAAGATTACGCTCTTTATTACAGTTCTTTGAACAGTTTAAACAGTTTAAACAACTGTTTAAATCAGGTACTGTTTCCTGTGTTTCGGCGTCAGTGTGTCCTTACAGGTAATTGCTGAAACAGAAATTTGGTAAGAAAACATTCAGAACACTGGAATAACGAAGATTCTGGAGTCTGGAGATTCCTCCAAGTATAGATAATAATTTACAATTATCTGAATTATTAGGTGAATTATCAGCTGACGATTACAGTGAATTATCAGGCTGAATTATTCCTGTTATAACACGATTGCGCGTTGGGCTGGATATGAGTCTGCTGATGAGTTGGCTATAATATAATGTGTCAGTGATGGGTCTGATGGGTTCATCTTTCTTCAGCTGTTTCTTTTTCTAACAGGTGCAAGACTGCAGTGAGACTTCTGACACTGATTATGTTTTTTTCCTTGTTTGTCATCAGTGTGTCATATTTGTTTTGCAGTGAGAGTTAAGGAACACAGCAATCCTGATCCGAACAAAGGTTCGAAAGGTTCGGCAGGTGCATACGATTTCGCGACTGCAAAGCCGCAGTCAGAGAACGACTGAACACTGAATGAAGCTAGATGGGCAATTGAAAACAATGCATATTCAAGTTCGGGTGAAAATCGACTAAGCTGAATAAAGTGGATATACTATAGTTTGGTCTGCCATTTTTCAACTGAACTTTTCTGTGGTCGCAGCGCGCGCCAAGTCCAGCGATCTACTGTGTTCAGACTGTTGCCTATTATACTCATTGCATTTACTTTGCATTATATTTTACCCGAGTGGAAAACCTAATTTTTCTCGTTTGCTGTTGCTACTATCATTGGGATGGGAAGCGGGCTATGTACATAGTTGATGTAGAACGAAAAAAACCCGTAACACGCTAAAAAATACCGTATTTATTCGAATAAGCGCCCAACCTCGAATTAGCGCCCACCTCGAATAAGCACCCATCCTAGAGGCAGAACTGCGGGTTAATAAACACCCAGCCTCGAATAAGCGCCCACCCACACCTCACAACCCTCCCCTTTCCACTCAAACTAAAATAAGCGACCACTCCTGCCCCCATTCCTCCTCCGACACAAAAAAAAATTGAATAAGTACTAATAAGACACTTCCCCGAAGACGGAGTTTTCTTCAGAGTATTTTACAGAAACCTTGCATTGTTACATCTTCTCGTTTTGTTGTTACCATTTATTGTTTTGTTGCAAAATAAACGTACTACACTTGCTGAAAATGGTGAACATTCAATAAGGGCCCAGCCTTGAATAAACGCCCACCTAGAATAGGCGTCCACTCTCAAGGTCCAAAAATTTAATAAGCGCCCAGGGCGGTAGTCTGCTACAAAGCCGTTTTTAGTGTCGTCACGCAACGCTCCTAGTATCAGAGAGAAGTAACGACCGGACATATCAGGAAATATTAAAGTCTACTCAGTGTCTACTGTTCGCAGGCTATGTGATCTGATGTGATCAGGCGTTTTTTTTTTGTTTTTTTTTCGGTGAAAGAGAAACCACTCATCGACCACTGGGACTCGGAGGACTGCTGATTTAGTTCTCGAGTCGTCTGCACCGCAGACTCAGTTTTTTCCTGGGTAGTTTTTTTCCGGAAACTGCGGAAAATACAAGCGGTTTGCACTCAGTGCAGTGTGTTCAGTGTGGCTTTGCAAGGCAAGGCGATGATCGTGAATCTAGTCAGTCTGGTGAATGAGCTGGTGAATGGTCTGAATGCTGTGAATGGTCAGCTGAAAATGGTGAACACATTGATTACAAACTGATTACGGTAGTTACTAGCAAAAACATCACAGATTTTAAAAACTAAAAACGAAGTGACAGCACTGCTGTCAATGAGAATCGTCGCCGTTTGGTACCTTTGTTCAAACCGTTAAGTTGAAAAAAAAATGTTTAAAAAAATAACTTATCGAAAACAACAGCCTGAACAGCAGAACACGCACTGCTGGAAGTCAGTGTGGAAGTGGTCAAACACCTGAAACACAAATCGGGCAAATTTTTTATGGTCTTTCATCAAGTTGCTTCGGAATATAAAGCTCAGAGGGCTTGTTTCTCAGTCTGCAGGTACTATATGGTTAAGAAAATCGGTATAATTTCCCAAAATTCTCCGAATAATGTGAATTGCTTTTTCTCTGTTTTCTCTCGCCTATCAGGAAAATCAGGAAGTGGGTGTTCACAGTGTTGATAACCTCAGAGCAGTGATAACCTGATGGGTTTAATAGGACAGAAAGAAGAGAAGGTCAGATGTTGTGGTGCGTTGCAAACAATAGTTCTTTTGTTGCGCACAGCTGGACTGTGTCAAATCAGCACCACCAACGTCACCCTTATTCAACCGAATTGCCGTTGATTTCTTGCACCGCACTGCAAGAAAAGACTCGCTGAGCTTAGAGGTTTGATTCGCTTGTCGCTTTGGGATGCTTGCATTCTACATGGAGATTTCATTCGCTTATATTCAACTATCTTTAAAACGTTAATTCAGGTAAGGTTTACTTCATTTTAACCTAACTGTTTTTGGGACCCTAAAGAGGAGGAATTTCACTGTAACGTGGCTACGATTTTAGGACATTTTAAAACCAAAGAATGGAAGAATTCATTTAGCTTTCCGGCCTTTCTATCTTATTCGTTTTCTGTTTGTATTGAGAAGTGGTCTTTTTTCATTATACGTCTTCTATGTACACCTCATTCGATAAGATCTCCCTGTTCGTTTCTAGATTTTGCGACATAATTTTTCAGTTTTTGTAATCAGTGTAATCGAACC